AAATTAAGAAAAATTGTATAATAATATTTTATTTATATATAAATATTTGGTATACACAAAAAATATTTGTCAATGGAAGATGTAATCGCTGGCGAGTGAGTTTTATCTTATAATTATTATGCTGTCAAGTTTTTGTTCCATTTGATCACAGAATGTCGTGACAACAGCTACTTGTCTCAGTGTACAGAAAGTGTTCGCATTAGTTCAAATAAATATTAATACTAAAAAACTGACTTATTTGTGACTGACGGAATACGGATACATCAAAAATGAAAATAGTGCTATCACCAGTTTTGATACGACAATATTTGATAGCAACAGTTGGTAAATATTTTTTGTTATTTTTTATATAAAATGTCTAACCAAATCTATAAGAATGTGTGAATTGAACTAAATAAAATATATTTAATACATTTAACGTATGCTATATAATTTTATAATATAAATGAGATCATTACTTGCATATATAACTTTGTATTATCATACAGTGTTTAATTGTAGTTAAACGTAGAAAAAATCGTTAATCGTTAATACGAAACAAAATATTACACATGTAAGGGGATTGTAATCAAAATATTATTATAATAAATTTTAATTATATAAAAAAGATCCAAAAATTAATGAAAATATCTCTGTAAGCATTTTGAAAGTAAAAACTTATTTTCTTTCTTTATAATTATAATTAAAATGGTCATTGTCTTTTTCTATGATCAATAGGAAAAAGTTGATGTACAATATTTACCTTATTTAACTATCTAAAGATAAATTAAACGGTCGAAGGTAGATAACAAAATACTTTGACGTATTATTCCGTGTATTACTATTGAAATTTAATATTTTTAATATGTATTTGAAATATAAAATTATTTTACGTATAGTAGTTACAGTACTATGTATACTTACTATTGAAAAATATTACCTTAACTGAGCAAATGTATTATATTGATTACAAACTTTATATATATATATCAAACATTTAGGAGAATTAATAATTTTAATTGTATCCATTATAGACAATGGAAACAAACAAATAATAAAAAAATCTATATATTGTACTATTCTGTTCAGTTTTTAAATATAAAATTTTTTTTATACAATTTCCACGTCAATAAGTAAATTATAATTATACATAAATATTTCTATAATTATTTCGTCTCACAAATACGCAGTAGATCTGTCTTAGCTTGTGTAATAAAAATAAAATATCATAAAAATATTTACAAACAAATTTACATTGGGTTTACAAAATCACGCATCTCATTTAGTTTACGCTTTTAATCATAACGTTACTAAATTTTAATTAATTGAATATTATTTATAAAATATTTTTTACATATATCAATGAAGCCAAGTATCTAAATTTATATATATTATTAATAGTATAATTAGCACATATACACCGCTCATTTTAACATACAAAGTAGTAATGTTTTACCCTTTAATCATTTTCAACTAGAACAGTAATTATTATAACTTCTAGTATATACTTCGATTTGATATACTTATATGTTGTCAGCATATTTACAAAGACTTTGTTGCTTAACATGTATTCAATATGCGCATATACATATATCTTTGTATCTTAAGCAACTTCAAATTAAACAGACGGTCTATTTTTGTTATCCCTTTTCTATCATTGAGTATAAATAATTTTTCTTCTTTTCAATGGATAAAATAAATTTATCTTTTATCAACTGTCTATGGACATGACCTCGATACTTGAGAGTTGTGGACTGTATTCTGGTACAACAATATTATATCTGTGTTTAATGTCAGGTAGAACTTATATTCAATAAAAAAGTTACGTGTTGCGAAATTCAAAATACGTTTTATAATAAAAATGGTTATAAAATTTGATTTGATTGTATAAAAAATAATTAACGAGCAATTCCAGTAAAAATAAACAGTATTGTAACAGCAAAAATATATATCACATACAAGTAATTACATATTTATGTTCTAGAAAAACTGTCAATAAAAAGGCGATTTGCCAGTCGTTTATCTATAGTAGAAACTCATATAATGTAAAAGAATAAATTCATATTTTGAGTTAGTCTTTAGCTTCTGCGACATGATATTCTAATGCTTTATAACTATCAACTACCAAAATTTCGCCAAATAATTTTCGTTGCCCTTGCAAGATTAATTTCCTAACATTGGAACTTTTGAACAGTTTAAATTTAGTATGCATGGTATACTCGTATAGTGAACATTACTGAGATTTTATTACATACAATCTTTATTTCTTTTTGCAAATACTTGCATGTTTTTTTTTTCTTCGAAATCATAACTCAAAATTATGACAATTATACTTCTAAATATGAGAAAAATATCATTCATTATTTATTCCACGTGTATTTGTTTACTATTATCGATATGATTGATGAAGGTGACAAATATGTAACTTCACGCTTAATTGTATGCAGGTTCTCTCAATAACATAAGCAAACAAAGAATTATAGCAGTAACTTTATAGATTATTGTTAATAATAAATCTGAATTAATAAATATAATACATGTGTTATAGAAATATAATATAACTTTAAACCGATATATCTTATACATAAAATTCTCGTGTCGCGGTCTTAAACAGACGACTATTCTGAAACGAATGGACCGATTTAGATGAAATATTGTGATCATATTAAATAGGTCTGTGAATCGACCAACATCTATTTTTCATACCCCTAAGTCATAAGGGTTGTTCACTCTTATTTTTATTCTTTTCACCAACCCGTATTTTATTATATGGCAAAACAACGTTTGCCGGGTCAGCTAGTAGATTGATAAAAACACTTTCTCAGTATCCTCTCCGCTCTCTTCACATCTCTAAAACATTTTAGTTAAATACAAATAGAAAGGTTTTAGAAGACTATGTATGTACAAATATACACTCTCAATATTACTCTTGCGTAAACTATATTGACGTTCATCACTTTCTAGAAATAAAAATAATATCCTATACAAAAAGTAATATTAAAATCAAAGGTATTCATTAAACAAGAAATATTACTAAGTCTGGCTAAAGAACAAAATTTTATAGTAGTTTAATTATTGATTATTGCTGAACCAAATAACGTTATATTCTGATATATAAGTATTTCGCGAATACACATATGTATAAATAAAACTAACATTTTTAGGATATACCACAAAACGTCCGGAGTATGTAGTTTTTACAAAAAAAAAAGCACGTACTGCACTACCCACTACGTACACTAACTATCACACGTAAATAACCTGATATACAAAATAATTAAAATACACAGAGATAAGGAATTAACATAAATATATACATTTTATTTAAGACAAGTCATGGTAGATAGTTATCCAAAATTAACGCTTACGTAAACTTAACTATCTGTTTGACGTTGGCTAAGCTATATTTAATGATCTATATGTAATTGTCTACAATTTTTTCCTGTGCGTTAATCCCTAAATAGTGCATTGTTTAATTCAAAATAATTGAGTAATATTTTAATTCAGTCATTATTTTAGTTTCAGCTACGTGAGTCATAACCACAATCAATCCATTGTCATATTGCTATTGTAAAATTTTATACAATATGGTTTTTTATTCATCATTTTCCTCGATTTACTGACTTTAAAATGTTGCATTACTATTTGTATAGCTCTCTGGTTTCTAGCATCCCTATTGTGCTTGTGTAATCATCCCTACTCCCTACTAATATTATAAATGCGAAAGTAACTCTGTCTGTCTGTCTGTCTGTCTGTCTGTCTGCTACGCTTTCACGCCTAAACCACTGAACTGATTTTAATGAAATTCGGTACAGAGATAGAGTTGACCTTGAGAAAGAACATAGGATAGTTTTTATCCCAGACTTTTGAAAGGTTCTCTTGGAAACGCGATATAACCGAACTCCACGCGGCGAAGCTGCGGGCGGAAAGCTAGTTTTAGATATTTCTCATTTAATAGTGTTTGTTTTAAGATATTTTTTTGTTAGTATGTATTGAAACTCAAAAAACCGAAGATATTGCAATTCCATACATCTGTAGCATTCCAAAATAATCAATTTATATATTTGTATTTTATAGTTAGGACTTACGAGTACGTCTCCGATAACACGAGTGTTATATGACAAATTTTTAATTATGTTTAACATATTCTAAAGGAAATAAATAAGAATTACGTTTGTATCTATTGACTTAACACAGATCATTTTAAACATACTTATGTATATAGATTACAAAACAACGTGTCTTGTGGAACATTTTTCGTATTAAAACATAACTTGTGGCTTCCAAGCTACCTATAACGATACAGCAAAATAGAGAGGCCGTCTGTTTCTTAGATAAAAAGTTAGGTATAGCATAAAATGCACTCATACTACCTTAAGAATAATATGATCTTTTATAATCATAATGAATGAATTCATAGTTCTGTTCCGTGTCAATACACAATGGCAAGTGTACAACTAGTTCAAATTAACATTCATGGCTTTTATTGTAACGAGAAACAAATAATAATTATTATTATACAACTTCTCTATCCAAGTACTTGTTGATATCTTATCATCAATTAATGCTTTACTATTGTATTCAACTTTAAACAAACACACTTATCACTTTACATGTGTGTTCAACCGTAATGACAAGATCAATTATAATTACCTAAAAAATTTCTTTAGTTTTTGCCATATATTATGTATTTTATAGATTCTATTGGCTAATACAAAATTTGTCGTTGGCTCTAACCACTATGGCCTTTGTTTTATCTACAAAAATATTATTCAGTAAGACAACGATTTTAAAATACGCCGACTAACACTTAAAGTGAAGTGAAGTTTAACATAGGTACTTGTAAAATTCATAGAATGCTTATAATAATAATCTTGTCTATTTTAATGACAAGAAAGTATTTTTTCGTAAAATTCTTTAATTTTATGAAAAATTATACTTTCTTTATTATATCGAAAATATAATTAAGACTATTTTATAAAGTAAATTAAAATGTTTTTTTCGTGAAAATAACCACGATAATGTTTTCAGTAAATTTCGGATCTCTGACCACGGGTATCAGCCTTTTCTGGGCATCGCCAATGCTCGTTAAACTCCGTAATGGAACTGATACCCCGTTATCGAGACCCATTACGGAGGAGGAAGGATCATGGATTGTATCTGGAGGCTATTTGGCTGCTGTTGCAAGTAAGCGAAATTAGACTACTTTAGTATCTGGTTTGTCGTTACTTTGTTAGCTTCTAAAGAAGAACATAGTGAAAAAATAGTAACAAAAATGTAGAGGCTATCATACTAATATAGACAATCGTTTCTCTATTTGTGCTTCAGATCTTATCATAGGTCTTATAATATGAATAACTTTGAGACAATAATTATTTAATTTTTCAGCAACACTATTAGGTGGCATTCTTATTGACACAATCGGTCGCAAATACTGCATTATTTTAGTAACAATACCGAGAATTTTGGTCTCTATTTGGACAATATTCGTGACTGAAGTGTGGATGTTGATAGTGTGTAGAACTGTTATGATTTTCACAGACTCTTTCATCTTCGTTGTCGTTCCTATGTATGTGTCTGAAATCGCCTCTGTAAGTATATTTTACATTTTTCCTGTATTACATTTTATTGCTATATGTATAACAAAAGAAATTAAAAATGTCGATGAGTGTACAAATGAATTATCATTTTATAGTTTTCTGTGCATATATTTCGATAATATTATTTATTGAAAGTGACCATATCATAAATCCTCAGCCAAATCATTGTTTTTATTACAAACGTGTATTCTAATATGTTCACAATTTGAAGTAAAATACCATGACAAATTAATATTTATATAGTCATACAGAAGATGTAGCCGTTTGATATGTTAAAGAAACCAATAACCTTTTCTACAGCAGAAATGTTATGTTTTAGAAAGAACATCGTGGCGCTCTCGGTACATTTCTGCACATTGTCTCCTGTTTAGGAATTGTTATAACGCTGGGCGTTGGACCGTTTCTGTCATATGTAGAACTCAACGCTTTCCTGGCAATTACGATTATTGTTACATTTATACCTGTACCATTCTTGCCAGATTCACCTGTATATTTATATTCAAAAGGTAAAAAACATTTTAAAACATAACGTGGTTCATTTTACCAATCATTTTGATATAATGAGATTTAAGACTTTAGCGAGTATTCATTTAAATGAATCTTATATTTTATTCTGACACTAATATAGTATTCATTTTAATAAAACTGATATTATTGTTTTAAAAAACTAAATACTCCCCATGTTTCGGTTACTTTAGAACAACCGTTATCACGGGGAGACGAGATATGTTAACAAAACGTCTAGAGTTTGTAGCTTTTAAAAACAATATAATACGAGTATTATTCACAAAATATTAGTTTTATTTTGATATAGTTTAAAAAATAAGATAATTCGAACTACAGATGTACTTAAGAAAAATATTTTCCCAGGTCGTATAGATGAGGCGATAGACGTACTATCAAAAGTTCGGGAATCTGACGAAATTATAAAGCAGGAGCTAGAAGATTATAGATCAAGCAAACAAATAAAAGTCAACAAAATCGAATTGATAAGAGACAGAACATTTTTAAAATCGCTTTCTTTGGGTGTTCTAGTCTGTGCTGGGGCTAACATGATAGGATATAGTGCCATATCATTTTACTTGCAAACCATATTTGAATCGACTAATACAAGCGTTGCACCAGAAATCGCATCACTAGTAATTGGTTTCATTCAACTATTTGCTGCCTTATGTACAACTTTCTTTACAAAATTTTTTGGACGACGTACTATTTTAATATATTCGCTCCTCGGGATGTTTGTTGGTATGGTAAGTAATATGAAATGTTAATATTTTGAAATAGTGACTATCCTTTTAATTTTTTGAGTAATATATCATGAACGTCTTTATTTTAGTTTGGATTGGGAATCTTTTTCACGTTCAGCACCAAAGAAGGTTACGTGATAACTGGATTTCTGAATTATCTTCCTATTATATCAATGATATTATGTACATACAACTTTAATGTTGGTGAGTATAATTAAACATAATTAATATTATTAGAATAAAATATAAGTCTCCAACAATAATTCTTTTTTTGCGTCGTGGCCTTGAAAAAAACTGTTTAAATAATGAATTTTTATTTGCTCTGCTATATATTTTTTTCTATTTTCAGGTATCGGATGTCTACTTCTTGTAGTAACAGCTGAATTATTCGACGGAACAGCAAGGGCGTTTGGTTATTCAATATGCCTGACATCAAGTTTATTTTTAGCATTCTTAACATCAAAATATTTTGTTGAATTCACATTAGCGCTTGGTCCACCAGCGACTTATTGGTTTTTCAGCGCAATGTGTTTAGTTGTTTGTACTCTAATAGCTGTATTTCTACCTGAAACTAAAGGAAAAACCTTTAATGAAATACAAGTTTCCTTGGGTAGGCAAAGATTAGAAAATGAGCCTGGACCTAGTCAAAGACCAGAGTGTTGAGACCACCCATCTACTTTTACAAGCCTCAGAAGCTATTCTAGATGAAGAGAGAACTAAAATGAAAGTTGAACTAGATAAATAAAATTAATACAATATAGTTTTAAAGAGGCCATAATGTTTTAATCGTTATTTATTTAAAGAAAATTTAAACAATTTTTTATTTGCCTATAGTTAAGTGTATTGTTTAAGAACGATTTTCAAAGTAAAAATACGTAACTTTTAAAGAGGGGCCTAATTAGTATAAGGAGGATATAACTATTTATTACATTATATTGTTATATAAAATCGTGTTTTTTTTATCGTCCAAAATTTAAGCTACCTAATACACTCGAAACATGTAATCTTCCTCGTTTCACGTAACAATTTTATACTATTCTTAAATACCATATTTAATCTGTCCTTAGTAAAGCATCTAATGCCATATTTATATTTTTATCAGCTTTCAATCACCAGTAAATCAATCTAGAGAGGTCATCTATTTATCTATTTATGTTACATCTTATACCTACACTTTCGGTACGTAATTTTTTTCTCAAGTTTTAATCAAGATAAAGATATATTTATCCAACAAGCAATGTCCTCTGCAAACACAAAACATAAATAGAAGAAGTATAAAAGATGAAAGGTGAAGGGAATATAAAATTGTATAGATAATTTTTTAATACCTAACTTTTTTGATACTTTTTGAGATATAACATAAAAGATTTAGTGATCATTAGTTGGTGAGTAAGGAAATCCCTCAAAAAAGTTCATTTAAATGAAGTTAAGGTTTATTCTGGTTAAACTGTATAATCCCGACGTTTTGATTATTTTTCAATGACTCTTAAAATAGGTGTTAAAAAACGCGTTACTGTCCGAAATCCTTAGTTTCATTTGGTGAATAAATACATATATACGGTAAGCTTTTGATTACAGCTCAGCCAGACTATAATCTGTGCTATTTTAAGTAAGAGTCTTATTTGACGGCGATATTCTTATAAATAATAAGTAATCTAGTTCTCTTTAAAAAAGTATGAGAATTAAAAAGTCAGTTGCACTAAACGTCTATAGTTAAAATCTAAAATCAACTGAACACAATTAAAATGATCAATATCATTATAGAGTACAGAAGTCGACGTTATAAATACGGAGTTTCTCTTTATTATTATTTTTTATCATCTTTTTTTTCATTAAAACAATTGTTCACTGCAATATATTCTTTTATTATGCATACATTTTATTTTTGAAAAACTAATGAAGCATAAAAAACAATATAATTTTTAATGTCATGAGATCTAACAGTTAAGCTAGAAGTCATTTTATTGAAACTAATATGTTTAAGACCATCTCGTCTGCCCGTGATCACGGTTGCTGTAACATAACCGAAACGTTGAAAGTATGTAGTTTTAAAATAATATAATCCAAAAAATATGAGCTTCATTTAAATGTGTTAATTCTAATTTGATAGTAAATACTTTTAAAAATTATCACTATATTTTTCTTTTTCCATAAAAAAGTTAAATTTAGGTATTATCTATAATTTTTTCAATCTTTTAAATTATATTTAAATCATGAGATCACCTTATCAGTCTTATCGGATAATCGAATAAATAAACTTGTATATACATACATATAAATACATACATAATTTGTATTTTTTTCGTCATAACTTTTAAAAACTTAAAAGCGGTATACGTGACCTTGTGATTTATAGTATCTTTCTCTAATAGCAGAATAATTATTTAGATTATCTCAAAGATATAAGAGAATAAACATCCATACAACATTTGCATAACTTTCGGTAACGGTAATAATTACACTCAACAGAAAATTACAAAAATATTCAAATATAGGTTTCAAACATGCCTACGTTCTGAATAATCGGATATTTACTAACTTTATTCCAGTTTTTAAAGTTCTGAACTTCGCTAGTCATATAGTTTACTAATAGGATTCGATAATATTACTCAATAGTGACCATAATTTGCATTTAAAATACAAAATAAAATAGCATTTAAGTTTCTACGACACTGATTCTATTTAGCATAGTATTACATATTTAATTTAAATTTTCTAGATAACTTATTGCGTATTAAGCACAAAGACATTTTTAATTGTGTAATAATTAAAACAATAGATATATCACGTGTTGCGTTATAATCCTTACAAGTAAAGGAAAATCCAACTCTCGAAAAGAATTATTAACAAGAATAAATGTATTTTAATTCAATTGCACTTGACTTTAATGTTGAGTATTATTGTTTTATATTCAGGGTTTGCACGTACATTCAAGTCGTATGTGAGTTATTAGTTAGTTTATTTTGTGTCAAAAATGGACAGTAGTCACCGTCGCTCAGAGACATCAGCAAATGTATAACAGATGATGTGGATGCGTTGCCAACCTTGATTGAGGATTGAAGAAAGGGTGGATTTGTGGGGGGTAATAAGGAAATGGTAGGAAAGGGTGAAAACAAGGAAAAGGCAACCGTCTCTCTCACTCATTGGTCGAAACGCAGACGTCCAAGACTGACAGACATTCAAAAAATATATTTATTGTTAAGACTAAGTGGTACAATGACAATTAAAAGCATAATTATTAATTATATACTCGTAGTTTACTTTTTGGATTCATCTAACTTTAAATCCCTGACAATTGGCAAAGATCCGGTCCTTGTTACGGTACTAAATACTCAAGTGTCTAATCTCAAAGATAGTATAGTTAGAAATCAATGTGATAAACATCGACTTCATTTTTATTCGTCTATTTATAGAAAATTTCTTCTTATTGTTATATTTTTTTAATTAATATAATCCAAATATGAAACCCTGATTCGCTTTTCTACTAAAATATGTTTAATGAAATCACAATTCATATTTTAATTATTAATTAATATATTCTGAATAAAAAAATATAAGTTTAATTCTAGATAAACACATCTTTAGTATGACTGTGCACCCCTTACTCTAATTAAAAATTTCAAGATACAGAAATAGCACAGTTACCAAAATATTAAAAGTATAAATATGTATTTTTAAGAATTTTTCTACTGTATACATATAAATATATATGTATATGTATGTAGTTACCTTGAAATAAATATAAAAACTTAAAAGTTATTTGATTTTCAAACCAAATATTAGAAATGAGACTGGTCGTAAATACGTTAAATTACCAGACTATCAAGAACTAGTCTCAAAATGACACAAAAATGTAAACATTGGGATTTCTGTGCATTCATATTTCAATAATTCCTTTTAAAATTATATTGAAAATTTTAAAATATTCACTAATGTCTTAATTCTTAATGTAAAAGGGGAACGTGCAAAAAATAATATAGTTAAATTTAATAAAAACAATTTGTAGTCATTTTCAGTTACTAAATTAACGTTCTTCAAACACGTTTCACACATAAGTTTATATATTTAACATTTGTGTAACTGTCTCTGAATCAAATTAAATTTTAATATACATATATATTTCAGTATTATGAGTGAATATCCACTACGTGTTTCTTACCATCTTCTCATTTCATTCCCACTCTCTTCTTTACCAATCACCATCATCAAAATTAAGATACCATTTCTATAACTGATAACGAAACTACATCACGGCGGATTTAACTGTCGAATATTCAGAGAAACATACATAGTCACATCCTAACCTTAAAATATTAACTCTAATTTATAATAAACAGTGTAAGTACGTAATGTAAAAGAAAGTCAATAAAAAAAAATATAAAAAAAAACTTTAAATGGTTACAAAACGAGTACGTCTATTTTCAATATGTCATGGAGCTTCAGTAGTGGAGAAATAAATATATCATTGTTTTAACTACATATTACCATTGGCGTAGTGGAAACGTTAAGTAGATTTTAAATACATGTGTTAGGGAAAACATGCTAGAATATTTACGGATTGTACTGACGTTAGTAATACGCTAATGAAACTCGACCTTGTGCCACGTATTGTTCGATAGTGTGTTTGTGTTGCTCGTTTAGTTTTTATATATATGTGATTAAACGACTGAGATTCGACATCTTTAAAGTGAAAGGGAAATCACTTATTGCTTGAAAAAGTGATTAAAATATTCGTTAGTATTAGAAGTGTTAAGTAATATTTATAAGGAATTTTTTACCAATTAATTTCTCTACCCTCGTACGTTATGATGCACAGAATTTTGGATTGTCAGTGGTTGCTGAAATTGTTTGCTAAATTCTAGAATTGTCTTATTCTTGAAAGCCAATAAATTTTATGATTTTATTGTCAAAGAATAGATTTCTTTATTTTGATAGTGTTAAAAAGAAATACTTATAACTCATATAATTGAGAGTAATTTCAATGAGTGCACTGGGATCTGTGTGTACATTTGCAATTACAGTTGGACTGCTGCTAGCGTATGCACAACGATGAGCAGGGGACGAATCGGTTATTACAATATCACTCTTTGAATACTGCTTTGTCCTATCGTCAAAATAACTTGGTGAGGTTGTAAAGCCTAGCTGTGACCAATTACTACAGCTCGAACGTGGGCTGGCTCGACCGGGGAAGTACCACCCTCCAACAGAAATTCGGCGTTAAGTGGTCTTTGATGGCTGCGTTCGTTCAGTGAGTGAAAGACCTGATTGCCGTTTCCCTTTTCCCACCCTTTCCTTTCCCTCCCTTGCCCACCTTTTCCTCCCCCTTTTCCCGAATCAAGGGCGGCAACACACCCACAAATCTACGTTGCAGATCTCCATGGGCGACGGTACTACCTCCATAAGGTAGGCCGTCGGCTCGATTGCTCCCTTTTCCCATTTAAACAAACTTCCTTTATTACCAAAAAATAAAATAAACTGTTTCCAAAACCTAAATGGCCACAATTGGAGAAGAAGATCATTCACGGACAAACTGATCGTTATATATGTTTACTATATGTACTATATGTATGTATACTATACCATCTGATCATTTTTCTGGTAAAGCTTCCTTGTCCTTAACAATATGACGATTGCCAATAGATTTAAGATATTGAAAATTCTAA